CGCTGTCTAACAGCACCAGCGAACGGGATAACTGTAACAAACGAAGTAAATGAATCAACGCGCAGGGCGAGCCGGCCATGAAAGACGGTAGCGGTCAAACATAGGGCCAGGATTAACAAGTCGTGCGAACTTGCAACACAAATATTGGTAAAAGATAGGATTCGAAGGAAGTGTGATATCCGCGCGTAACTGGGGGGCAAACCATTAGGCGCTATGATTCTCCGACGGTGACACTTATGGCACAAAGCGCAACAAGAAGATGACAACCCGCGCTTGTCGACGAGTTTGTAGTCACAGCTGTTGGTTGGTCTTCATAGCACATCCACCTGTTGCTTAAGAGGATAGAGCTTTGGCTAGTGACGGAAAGATAATCAAGGAAGTAACGATGGATACAAATATTGGAAGGATAAATGTAAAGATTATTATTCAGAATGGCAACATATTTATGGTTGTGCCATCTTGCCTAGCTTGTACGTATATAAAGGTGTGATACCGTATAGTCAACAATTTCAATTGTTGACTATACGGCTGCCTCGTAACAACTACAACATAGGAAGAGAGAGAGCAAAAGCTTGCAGACAACAGCCGATCACAAAAAATCCTCAGCACCGTTATTCTCGTAGTAGGAGAAGACAATCGTCAGCCTGCATGTCGTGACCTAGACGCCGCGCTGCAATGCAAGTACCCCGTATCCGACTGCCTTAAATATTATCGTATCGTACTCGAATGTAGAATTCGCTTATGAGAAGAAACCGCCTGATGAGTCGTGCGCCCCTTACTCACTGTGGGGTCCCTGCTCACAGAATAATGCCCGGAGTAAAATCAACGAGTAACCGAAGCCCAGGGTGAGAACGATAAAATCCAGTAAGCCGTTGAACATCAATTGGGCGTCTGGCGCGTGGGCTTCTGATGGGGTGGCAATGAGGTAGTCCATGGTCCATCCTGAGCCCAAACCGTTCGGGGATCGTCTTTCCAGCTCATTCTCTCGTGCTTTTGGACCTCGTGGGCCCGTGCAATACCAGGCGCAGGGGCAAACTTCCCGGCGGAAACCTGCAGAAGCAGCTACGACGCTGGCACTAACCGGCCACGAACCACAGCGGCTCTGGATTTCAAACGTTTACCGAGCTACCGAGCGATGCTGGACGATCGTCTAAATGGGAGGGCCGCCGCAGCCGCCGCCGCTGCTGCAAAAGGGAAATTGGAGAAAACTCCTAAAAGAAAGCGGTGGCCCTGGTCAAGAAGGGGATTGGAGCTCGTCAGGGCTGTGAGAGCGGCACCCACAATAATTAAGTTAGCTGCCGTCGACCAGGAAAAGTTTCTGCTGCACAAGCATTAAGTTCCAGTCGCTGGCAAAGGGCGCTGCTGGATCGTTCCTGTTAGCTACCATCGCTGACGCCATTGCCTATGTGAGTGGTAGAGTCTCTGCGTATTTGTGTATATAGCTATCAGCTGCAAACGCGCTATTCTACACTTGTCGAACACTAGAAAAGCAATAAGGCCGGTAGTGGTAGCCATCGACGCCTAGAGCGATACCGAAACCGAGATCAGCCATAACAGCGACTCCGCGTGCGGTACTGGTAATGCTATAGCTAGTGACGACCTCGGAAGACGATGCCCAGTTTCACGCATACACACGCTTCCAGAGTCACCAGAAAAGCCGCACGTTTTAACGTATTCGCCACAATCGGCCTATTGCTGACGGCTTCATGCTATGCGGAGCTAAGAAATCTGGCGTAATGATGCTTCCCGCTATCGGAACCACCAAAGCATACGTGTTCCGCCGGGCTATTGGCAACTAGTGAAGGACAACAGAAGCAGGCCACGTTAGAGCTATTGTGATCTGCGTCTACTCGTATTTTTCCCCGGACTTCCCAAATGGCATCGAAGAGATTCGCCTTATAGGAGCTGAAATTACGGGTCTTCTTCCACAGCCAGATAGTACTGGCCATATTGGTCACGCGGAAATAACAGCGGGTGTTGGTAACGACTGTGAGCAGCATGTTGGCACAGCAGTCGCCAGGGTGACACTTGCTGCTGAGATATAGTAGTTTTTGCCCTCGACGAATTTTGCTGCGGGCAGCTCATTGTAACGAGCTAAGCGTTAGCGGCGACTGCCGACCATCGGTAGCTGGGGCAAACCACAATAGGAGCAGAGGTTTATGCATGTTTCGAGTTCGTTTCAGCAGCACTATTCGGTGCTTGCTCTCTGCTCTTGTCCGGATGAACGAAGAAACTCTGCAAGTACGACCCAACAGCGGCCGTATCGAAGTAGCCGCTCGGCTCGCAGCAGACGATTGGGGCTTCGAGGAGAAACTGCTGGACTTTGAGAAGCAGTGTCGAGGAGCTGCGAGGAGCAATTCAGCTGCAAACTGGCTAAAAATAAAGAGTCAAACAAAGAAGCGTACCGTTTACAGCAATCATTGTTAACAAGGAAATACGCGATAGACCGGGTCGCGTTTACACGATCTTCAACCTCCCACTTTCCGCCCCCCGCGCTCATTGCGCACAATTTGCCGCCCAAGACTGTCGGGCAAAGTAGCAGACAGGGTACCACCATTACTTCTCATACTTTATGTTTTGCTTCTATGGCCGTTGATAACTGGATGCTCGCCACAAATCGGATCAACAAACTGGCGATGAACGGCGCCAGCACTACATGATAGGATATACGACGGCCGCTTTCGAAAGAAATCGTAACATTTTCAACGGTAGCTAACTCTGAGCTCGTTCGAACGCAAAGCGGTCGCAGCGGCAACGGAGCCGAGCAGCGCAAAGGCGCCTACTTCGTCTAGTTTCTGACGGCAATCGACTATCGAATATCCACTGGCTGACTCACTGACGCGGACAGACTAACTTGACGGGATGAAAAACACAGTCCTATGAGATCGCCTCCAATGAGACCAGACATCGTGGCGACGCGACGGACTTGCGGCAGCAGGCACCCTGCCCTGCGGCGCCTCCTCTACTTGAGTTCAATTTGCAAACATAAATGTGTACTGTAGGCGGCACGGATTTTGGAAAAAGGATTTCGGCCTGAATTCACCAGTCGTCGCCAACGTGAGCGCCATAGTACCGCAGTACATCGACATGAGCATCTTGGACGCGATGCCGTCTGGCTTGCTTTTATAGGTCAAGTAATTGGCATGACTAAAACAAGAGATAAGACAAATGCAGTTTATTGTGGCGTCCTGACTGATCACTTAGATTGATTGAATGGTCCTCCTTACTCCCGGCCGAGAAACGCATACATAAACTGATATGAATGTAAAACATACTCCTATTATGTCGTTATAATAAAACTGTTGCGGTAAAATTTCAAGCTGTACGTTTTCTGCCCTTAAAGTAGGTGCTAAAAGAAATATTCTCTTCTTTGGGTAGCCGTGACAAGATCAAAAGTCCCGTCATGATCACATCGTCTGTTGCAACAGTTCTTTAACGTTCAACATAATAGTAGCAGCAAATAGCCTTGGCTAGGTGCTATTTAGACCACGTGCTGGGGCAAATTTTTCTTTACGCGAACGTCCAGTACGGTCTCTCCGGCGGTGTTGCGTCAGCAGCGCTCAACGCTGGCCAGGCTCAGCCTGTCGCTCGGTCCACAAACGTATATATATTTATACATTCCGGGATCTGGCCGTCCGTCGTTAGGAGCTCGCGGCGAAGGGGCCGGACCGGACCGGGCCGGGCCAACGGTGCCACGCATCGTTGCCCCGGGAGCCAGAGAGCTGTTGTCGGAGTTGGGTAGCGATCGGAGCCGCCGCAGATCTTCGTTAACATCGTGGTGGGGTGGCAAAGAGAAGGCGGCGACGAGGTCGAGGGGACCTAGCTGAAGAGCACATCTGTGTTTTGTGAACTGCACGCGTTGATCGGAGGACTTGAGTCGATTAGTGGTGGACTACGTGCTGGCCAATGAGAGCCCGCAGTAGAGACTACATGGTCTCAGCGATGAGAAATAACATCGGGTACCTATTAGTGGGTACGTAACAGATTAGCAATGGCTGCCACTACAGACCAGTTGCTGGTGATTGACGGAAACGTGCTACGAATTGAAACTGGTGAAAAGTAAGGAGCGAAAAAAACGTAAAGCGCCGACAGTGGCACTAAAAAGATGGGCCGATGCACCCCCATGTTGTTAAGGATGTGCTATGTAGCGTGGGACGGGATGTGCAGTACGGCTGTACACATCACTCAATGACCAGATGGCTCGTAGTGATGCTGGTCGAAACGACTGGTTCATTGTAGGATTGCCACCTAACCAAAGTCGCTAGTTTTAGCTAACATAGTTGACAAACGTAGGCAGAAGGCTTGGACATGGTCAAACAATCGAAAGCGCAAAAGTGACGCATATGTCATTTTGCTGAAGCATTTCATGCTGTGACTGCAAAAAAATCACCTCTGCTCAATATGTACTAATATGGATAGACGATCCCAGTATACCGCGACTTTACTGGAGGTGTCTGGGAACCATGTTCACGTACTTACGACCTTAATCTACACCACCATATCCACAACATAGGCAATAATATGATCATAATTCATTTATCTTGTCTTCTTACGTTTTCTCAAGTCTAGTAGACTAATAGTATATATTTTATTAACTGACGTAACATGTCTTCACTACGATTAAATGTTTCGTCTAATACCGCCGTTAGGCGTTCCATCAGACGGCTGTTTTAGGACGAAACGAAGCATGTCTATGCCCGTATTCGATCCTGGACCTTGAACAAGGCGCAATCCCCATTTGTCCCCGTCTACATATATATATATAGAATATATATATATATATATATATATATATATATATATATATATATATAATACAGAATATCCTGCTGGATCGAAACCTTATACTCGGAAATGCGGTCACTGTACCTTCTAAATTATTGCTAAACACATTAGCCCCACATCTGTTAGTTAAGAACGGGCATCGAACGTCGAAATATTGGAATCCAGCTATCCAACTTATCATAGAAGCATGTTACATAATACGTAATTATACTTACAATGAGCCGCATTCCTATATCCTTGCTGGATAGCAGCTCGTGCCGCTCCTGAGGTGTAGTATGATGCTGGGTTGTTGCCATCGATTGAGTGAAAGAACACATCCATGTCTTCAGCACTTTCATAAACCCCGGCTCCAACACCCCCTTGGGGTCCCACACCGCTTACACCCCCACCTGCAGCCCAACTTTGTTGAAGCTGAGCGCAGGAGTCGCTTTGATGACTCGGGGAAGATCCTTCCATCGTCATACCGGACACAGCAGCAGCGTTCGCAGCTGCTGGACTCGGTCGCAGCTAGAATGCACAACTATCAGTAGGACCCCACAGCACGACACAGTTGTTGTTGTTGTTGCTGCTGCTGCTGCTGCTGCTGATGCTGTTGTTGTTGTTGTTGTTGTTGTTGTCGTCGTCGTCGTCGTCGTCGTCGTCGTCGTCGTCGTCGTTTACGAATCCTAAAAGGTCAGCAAGGAAACGGAAAAAACATCCTCATATATCATATTCTCATAGATTCAACGCGTCTGCTTTACGCTAACCGACTAATATATACTGTCATCCACAACGTGTTGTAAGGAGATTCTTACAAGTTATAACTACAGTCGAGCTTTTTTCCTACTTTATATCCTTAGTCTAATAGCAACAATATATATATAGATTGTCCTTAAACATCGAATCCTCGTCTGATGGTGGAAGGATCGGTGCCAATTGCCTTCATGACATCAATCGGGTCGATAAGCTTACAACGCAATTCTAATAAAAGCCATAGAAAGAAAAAGGAACTGAAACAAATCGCTGCTGTTTGTTCATCAATCACCAAAAGCGATCAGTAAGTCGAATAAGCAAAGGTGGTAAGTGGCGTTGAGCTCTGTATGCGTGCGTGCGTGCGTGCGTGCGTGCGTGTGCGTGTGTGTGTGTGTGTGTACGTGCGCAGGCGTGCCTATGATTGTGTCTACTCTGTATGTATAACGCATGTAGAACCATTTTGCCTTCAAGCGTTAGCATCTGCTGTGAAGAGCTGCGTCGTCCGTTTTCTTTTTGATAAAGCTCTGTTATCAGCGTTTTCAACACGTTCGTTCTTTTCTCCAGTTGCTGACGTTGTATCAGTGCAGATATGGCCACTCGCAGCAGTTGGCATTGCCCAGCAGTGACGACTTTATACCCTTTTTGCCGCTGAGCAGCTATTACTGTTACTACCAGCATAATTATTTTGAATTTTATTATCACGATATCATGTAGTTATTGCCATTGTCCGTAATGGTGGCTCTAGCGTGGTCTATCTGTGACGGCAACGCAGTGCCATATGGAATAAGGCTCTCCGAGGGCCGTAGTCAAGCCAGCGGTCACGGCAGAAGCGGCCGGAGCCAACATAGCGGCAGCGCTGGTTCCAATCGGGCCGGGGAAATCTCGTCAAGTCTCATTTGAAACCGTTTAGAAATACTACACAGTAGCACACGCAGCTAATGGCTGCAGGGCCAGTTGTGACGCACAGATCGAAATTAACCAGCGAAATTGACCGCAGGAGCGTCAACAACTGCCGAAGCTTCAGGCTGAGCTGGTGCGCGACAAGGATTAAGACGACGACGACGAGTTGACACTGCTGCTGGAGCTCCAAAGCGCTGGCGACAACGAAACGCCGATACCGAATGACGAGCCCAAACGGATTTACGATTTCAACGAAATCGTCAGCTTGCGCGAATGATACATCACTTCTACTTGATCTACTTTAAAACGCGAGGAAACACTGAAAACCGGTTGAACGGCGGATGGTCCGAGAAAAAAAAAAAAAAAAAAAAAAAAAAAAAAGAAAAAGAAAACGCATAAGAAGATGGCAAAAAAGCCATAGAGGAATAAAGTCAAAGAAGTGAACGGTGTTTGATTTTAAGACAGGTGACATGAGGACATAACATAAATTTATCGAATATCTAATCTATACAAACACGGACAAACTAGCATCTTTCTCCCTGTTCCAGCCTTATTCTTAACAGATCAATAAAGAAGATTGTCAAGAATATTTATAATGATTTGTATATCTATCGCCTTAAAACAAACACGTATCTCGCTCTAATCAAGTATATATTAACCTGTCTTACGGTTGTTGTCGGTAGCATGATCATGATTCCTATGATCAGTAGATGAGAAAAAAAAAATCAGCGTATGTATACAATACAGTCAAGTTAGAAGGGTCCCTGCCAAGTGTAGGTGTTCAGTTAACTCGGCGTTATCAAAATAAGGTTGCCTGTTTACCATATCGAGTTCACGTGCCAGATAGTTACTCAACTTAAACAATTGACTCAAGGAAGTTCTAAGAGCAGCAGCGTATTTCCTGAGACAGGCTAAACGTATTCAATATTCTTACAGGCACCCCCCTTCTTAACACTGAGTTTATAATAACTCTCGGCTAAACAGACGAAAAAAAGGACACCATTATTATTGTATTATAAAATCCCGACGCCATATATACGTTCGTCTGTTTACGTACGTATATGATTGATGGAAGTATATTCGATTGATCTTCTACGCGACGCGATCGCTAAAGCGTTAAAAAATGTATCGTTCAAAGAGCTATCAGTAACATCGGCCCTCTTCTCACGAAGAAAAAAATTAGGACGCCCTGGTTCACGCTGTCATTTTTTACTGCAACGAAACACGAGGGTCAAAGCTGATATATTACATTGATGTACGTCTCTTTCAATAGACTTGAAGGCTGGTCCGCTTGTTAGTGCGGCTGTCATTATGTAAACTGAGATGTTTGGGCCAATTGATTTTAGCGATCTAGGGGCCGTTCGTTGCTCGCGATTAAGGCTACCCGCTGCTATGCGGCACAGGCACCCTGTCAATCAAGCAGACCGGCCACAGGTTCTCAGGGGGCTCAAAGAAAGCAATGCCAATATCGCCATTAGAGGCTTGGGGACATATGTAGACGCATGCATAAACACTTGTATCATCTGAACGATTTCGACAATTCAGTGCCGCGCAGCTAATGCTGCTGGTGGGGTTCATTTTGTTACTAGCGGCTAACTAGCTGTGTCCGATTGCGGCACTATACAGTTGGCGCGAAGTACCACGGTCAGCACGAATCGCATCTCACATAAAGCCTAAGCACAGAAATCAATGAATGAGGAAAGGTTCTGAAAGAGTCTGACACATATATACCGAAAGCATAGAGCGCCATGAATGGTGATGATCAGTAGACGGAGGACTGTTGCTGCTGACGAACTACTGCCTGCTCCTCTCTGTTTAGCACATCAGGGTATTTATCCTTTGTCCTATCCTTCGGTTAGTCTGCGCTCGTTAACCTTTTATATTAGAATGTTGTCGTAGATGCTACTTTTTTTTTATGTGAATGTGGGCAAGTCTGCCCTGCTGGGCCTCCGAGGTAACAGTAACAACCTCCCCTAAACAACAGCTGTAGCCACAGCGACAGCGACATCGACGAAGCACCTCGGTGCTGTCAGACTGAGATCGTCTCTTCACATCTCATTCAAGTCAAAGAAAAACGTCTAGAGGCAACGTGAAGACGCAGAAGGGGCAGGCTAAAGAGCAGCTCGATCCGCCGGCAATTACCCATACAGCCAATGCCACTGGCTGAATCCGGTGCTAACTTTCGTATCACACATGAGTAAGACATTACCTCGATAAACAGAGTCACATAATAATCGATCTTATCAGATTTAATATGCACATTCATTACACCCCGGTTAAACAAAACTGTTAAGCACCATGCGCTAATCAGATAAGAGCTATCCGTTCTTCCTTAGCGATCGACCTTCATATACATATATATATAAGGTCGATCAGTGTCGATATATAGTCAAGAAGATGACCGGCTCTGTCGCCTACGCCGCCTGCACACCGAGTTCAATGGCGGCGGCTAAGCGTACTGGGGATCCGTTGGTATCTATCAACTATACGTTAAGCAATGCGTGCGAAGGTCGCTTTTCGTTGTACCGGTATGTTGGGGTCATCATGAACAGATTCAGGGTTCGTCATCCCTGTGGTCGTCAGTCATGCTTGCTTGCCGCCACCACCACCTTCTTCCTCGTTTTCGTTTGGTTTGTCACTGGCGTCTCACTGACTTGCGAACTCAACGTGGAATTTATTGCCGTATTTATTACTCGATATTCGACCGATACGTCGATAACCGGTAGGAGAAGAGCAAAAGCGATTGGACGACGTCATAAAGCAGTAGAGGGTTTGTTTGCCATAAACTAGATTATCCCGTCGTTGTCGTCGTCGCTTTGTTCTCCGATAGTTTAACCAGTTCGACTGTGGATGGGGAGGCAGAGAGCAAGGTGGCGACGGTATGGAGGTGTCACACGACAGCAAAAACCTGACGTCAATGTCTGGATATCATGATAATCCGAAATCTCTGTAACATTGCATGGGTCCTAGACGGCTTTGGTAATTAACAGTAACAGCCCGCGGGCTTGGCGTATAGATTACAAAGCACCGTGGTATCTCCAGTGTTGCTGAGAAGGGTCTTTTTTTATTCCTAAATAATGGTGGAATAATCATAGATGTGCTGTTTTGGACGGTGTGTGCGAACTCGTTATATTGTTCTATTGATTTTTAGAATTGTTTAATCCGTCTTATGATCGCTTATTTCTTCTAGAAATATACTATTGCTAAGAATAGGCGCTAGCCAATCCAATCATATCTATCTTCAAGCAATGGCTTCATGGAGTTATTTATGAGTTGATCCCTGATAGCATAGCTACAATGAAAGAACCTGCGAGGCGTTGTTTAGCTAGACGGAAAGTCTGAGGGAAACAAACCCTTTCTTGACTTTGATAACGCAACAGAATATATTATCAAGCTACCCGTTATATCATTGCTGTTATTGGTGCCTATGCCAGTTCCCGACTCGGATCTAACGCTGCCCATATCCGGCCAGCCCATCGATTCCCCAATCCCTGGGAATCATCGACGGTTTCGTCAAGCCGCGTCAAACGCTGTTTGTCTTCTGCTCGGACGCGTGCTGCTTCCTTTCGAGCCTTCCTCTTCGGCAGGTTCGTCTTCGTCCACTACTACAATCGTATGTCTAATTCTAATAATTGACTTTAGCAGTATGATCTTGTGGACGTACTCTCGAAGCAGCACAGATCTGGAGGAGAGATCATTTTTCGCGCTACGCCTTTTGCCCATGCTAGATTGATCTTTCAGCTGTCCCATACATGATCTTCGTACAAGTTGTAAATCCATACACTAGGTACGTGAGGACGTGCCAGTGTTGGGTTTAATATGTTATGCTGTCGTTCCGTATATATGCGACAAGTACACATCGTCTGCTTAGCTCAGCGGTCAAATGACCAAGGGCGCAAGCGCGGGCATCACACAACAGCAACCGTACGCAAGAACAAGCTTCGCGCAGCGGTATGTCTCTATCAATAGAACATACAACAG